TTTCACCCTGCACTTCCCATAGTACCCACAGTTCCTGCAGCCTCAGATCTGGAAGGAAGAGTTGAGTTGAAACAAAACCTAGATGCAGCCACAACCGCATACAAACATCATGCTGATCGCCACTGGTAGAGGGGCCATATGTTTGGCCCATAGCCATAATTTTGTCCTACTGCAAACACTTCAAGACAGGCAGACCCATACGTAAACTGGACCACCAGTACCTAGCACGCTATCAGATCCTCAGGCAAAGCAACCCAGTAACCTTCAAACTTCAACTTCCCTGCTACCTTAAGGTGCACCCTGTATTCCATGTCTCCCTTCTTAAATCCTTCTGCTTGTCCACCAGTACAAGGCCAAGATCTTGTCCACAAGATCCTAAACTCCAATGTACGAAGATATGATATCTCCTTGACTGGGAAGGGTATGGAGCTGCCTGCCCCACCCAATCCCCAGGAGCCACTGCCAGACATGCTGGCCACTTCCGGGAATGGCACAGGGCCAGGGCAGGCAGGAAGCCTGCCTTAGCTTCGCTGCGTGGCGCTGTCACCCCGAAGTCGCTTGAGGTAAGCGGCGCCAGGCTAGATCCCGAACCCCTCCTGCCCCCCGCACCTCAACCCCCTGCCCTGAACCCCCTGCCCTGAGCCCTCTCATGCACACCGCACCCCCTCCCACACACCGCACTCCCTCCCGCATCCCAACCCCCTGCCCCAGCCCTATGTTCATGGCTCTGCATATAATTTCCCCACCCAGATGTGGCCCTCGGGCCAAAAAGTTTGCCCACCCCTGGCCCAACTGGAAGAGGAAGCTATTTGAGAGACAGGCCATTGCTCACCTTAACTTGCTGCCTGTCCTGTCCCTACCTTGCTCCCTCACTTGATCTCACATCCATTTGTTTTAACACTTTTAAAAAATTAGGTAATTTCATTTAACACCCCCCTCACCAAACCACCTCTATTTTTAAGAGAGTATTAAGACCCTTGTCCTGCAAACCCTTAACACATGCTTAACTTTACATTTGTGCATAAGTGTTTGCAAGATTAGGGCATATGGTTAAGAACTCAAAAATCAGGAAATGCCAAATACACATATTTATTAAAAATGTATTTATACACATTAATGTAGTTTTAGTGTTCAAATTATTTATATACATCTTTTTGGTTTGATTAATTTAATTCCCATGAAGAAAATAAATTATTCTTTATTCTGGAATAACAGATAATTATGATGAGGTTTATAGCTTTTCTCTTCTGTTATAATAAGTTATTTTCAAATGAAGGGCCAGTTGGGAATACTGATCTGAGTAAATTTTCTCACATGCCTAAGTGTTTGAGTGATCAGTCCCATACCTGCTTTCTTCGCTTTGTACCACCCAACCCATGTACAGAGAGCCTGACCCAAAACCCACTGAAGTAAATATGCTTCTTGCAAAAGCCATATTTTTCTTTTGTTGATTCATTGTTTTCTCCTTTTTCTGGGAATTTATATGTCACTGGAATTTGCCTTAATGAGGCAAGGAAATAATAATACAGGTGTGGCCAAACCGAGGCTTCCGAGCCTCATGTAGAAAGTGTGGCTCGCGGAGGCACCCCCACCATTATCCAACTACCAGACTTGGTTGGGGAGCTTGGGGCTTCTGCCCTGTGGCAGAGTGGTGGAGATAGGGGCTTCTGCCCTGCAGGGATGGGAGCTTGGGGCTTCTGTAATAATATATATAACTATGTAATTAAAGACTGCATCATGAAACCTGTGCACGGGGAAGCAGTCAAGGTTGTGCATGCAATCTTAACTTTGGCATTTCCTGACTTTGAGTACTTCACTTTGTAACCTTAACATTCTCTTAATCTAGTTATTTTCCAAAATGAATTCCTTATATATGGTGATGATTCAGCAGATGGCACTCTTTCCTCTGAGTCGCTACTGAACAAATGCCCGGCATTGTTTTAGAGGGCAGTGTGCTACTGGAGGTGTTTTCTTTCAGATTAGACATAAAATCAAGGTCCTGACCCCTTGTGATTAAAGATACCAGGTCATTCCTTTTGAGAGAAAGGGTATTAATCCCAATGTATTGATCATATCCCAGCAGGGTAGTTTCATCTTCCTTCTTAATTTCAGATGGAAAAAATATTCATAGAATCATAGAAATACTTGTTTATTTGGATCATCCCTAGTCCAGTCCCCTGGGCTGAGGCAGGACCCAAATAAACCTAGACCATACCTGACAGGAGTTTATCTAACTTGTTCTTAAAAACCTTCAGTGATGGTTCTGCAACCTCCTTGTGAAGCCCATTTCAGTCCTTAACTACCCTATTAAGAAAAGAGAGTTTTTCTTAATATCCCTAAATCTCCCTTGCTTCAGATTAAGCCCATTACTTCTTGTCCTACCTTCAGTGGACATGGAGGACAATTGATCACCATCCTCTTAATAACAGCCCTTAACATACTTGAAGATTGTTATCAGCCAGACTGTTAGATCCTTAATTTCCTGTCCTAAATGTTGTGTTGCTATGCATTGTTAAGCAGTTATTGAGTTCCACTCCAGAGGTGGATACATTTCTGTGTTGGATGTTGGGATTCCTGTCTCCAGTTTGTGAATCAGCCTGTTAATTTTATAAAATGCTTTGGGAGCCTTCAGGATGAAAAGTACTAGATAAATGAAAAATAATTATTGTTATATTAGAGACCCTTAATCAGGATGCTCATGCTAAAATACAGACTGTCAACTCTGTCTATCTAGTGGGAAGATTTGAAACTCAAGACCACTAGGTGGGGTTGTAAACAATGTAGTATCTGTTGTAATTCTTATATGCTTTGCTGAAACTATATACTGCCAAAAATGTAATTCTCAGAAAAGAGAAAACAATAGTACATCACTAAAACAGGAATACGGCTTTCATCAGAAATATTTTTGTACTTTCAAATATTGATGTTTTTATAGAGATAACTTTAATTTTCCTAACAGTTAAAAATAAAGAATTCCATGCTCAATGAGCCTATTGTGAAACCACACAATACCATTTAATTTTTTTTCTTTTTGTCTCTCAATATCCATTTTCCTCGCTGTTATGGCATTTCCTCTTTGTTGTAGTAACTTAATAGCACCAATTCACACAGTAACACAGAATAGCAAAATCAGAAACCTAATCTGGCAGTTAAAATTCATTTTGATTTACTCCCTCTGTTTTTGTTTTGTTTTTTTAGTTCCTCCTATCAGAAAAGCAGTCAACTGAGTGATCCTTTGCTTTGCATACCGAGATAGCTAACCAATTTTATATCTGATTTTTATGCCATATTTACAGTATTTCACACAGTACAAAGATCTGGCAAGACCATAGCAAGACAAAGTGCACCAAGCCAATTGTAATACTCTGGAGCTGCTTTTTAATACCTTCTTAAGAAATTGCTTTGTTGCAAAACATTATACTGCTGTGTTGTGTAATTTATGTATTCTTATTTAATGTAATGTGAGAAGGACAAGGTCACTTTTTACATCACTGGAATGATTGAGTGTATATTCTGGGGTTAAGATACTCTCTCTTAGTTCTTGAGAGTGTCCTGGCTTGTATCTTTTAATAAATCTAGATTTTTTTTTCTTTGCCTGTCTTGCAAATGAAACTGTATCCATATAGCTGCTGGCAAATACACCAGTTTAATTGTTTATGTGTCATTATCAATGTTGAAGATTCTCTTTAGAGTACAGTACAGACTTTCTATCCAGTAACAATCATAATAGTTGAATTTATTTTGTTTTTGCCTTCTGGGTCTCGATAAATTAAGCATTGGTTGGCTTTGAAATCCATCACAGGTTTTTCCATTGTCCACTGCTTTATCCTCAAGATCATCAGTCTTTCTTGACTCAGGCTATAATAAAAGGGTTTAGCATACTGCTGAACAAGTAATATTTGACTGGATTTTGAATAATGTGTTATCCAGTGAGAAAAATATTTTGTGTTTGAGGATGACTGGATTGAATTGTGGATTATCTGTAAAATTTAGGACCCTGGATCAAATCTAGCTCAGAAGTAGCAATATAATAGTTTAAGACAACAGAAGCTTATATCTTAATTAAGTATATAACATATTTCAGTGTATTTCCATTTAATGTAAGAACTAACATAATTCATATGCGAAAATAGGTTCATGTTATTATATTAGCATGTTTTCCATTTCAATTTAAAATGCATGTTGATCAGAAGGTGTGGTATAGGTTCTTTTCATTATTGTCAGTATTAAAGTATGAATGTGATGATCAATATTGTGTGTTTACTATTTTAGCTACATTCCCACACTAGGTATAATCATTTAATACATTTTATTTGGGACTGGAGTCATGGATTCTTGGAATTATGTTAATAAACAAGTATGACTGGTATTTTCTTGTGAAGAAGTTAAGATAGGGAAAAAGAAAGAACTCAATGATACAGTTCTGTGCTCACCTAGCACTATGTTCTGTAAGTGAACTAAAATCAGAGGTGACTATAAATGCATTGCTTTTTTTTTTTTAAATAAAAAAATGTAGCTGCATTTAGTAATAAAATAAACAGTTAAGTGCAAAGCTTATTTTGATCATGAACAATCTTAATTAACCAAACATCAAATATAAGTTAACTTTGACTTGGGCCTTATCCAGAAATAGTTACTTTAAAAAAAGTCAGAGAATAAATTTTTATTGTCATTGTAGTCATTTGGGGACAGATTTTTAAAGATATTATGTGCCTAAAGTTGCAGATAGGCACCTAATGGAATTGGCAGAAGTGCATCGAACTATTGATTTCAGTGGGAGTTAGGCACTAGGTGCTTTTAAATACCTTTACAAATCTGGGACTAAATCCCACTGATTTTTCAAAGAGACTTAGGAATCTAAGTGCCTAAGTCCCTTTTGAAAATGGGACTTAGGTGCTTTTGAAAATTTTATCTGAAGTCTTAAATTAAGCACGCTCTTCAGTTTTGCTTGTACTGTATCAAGAGTTTCAGAATAACTGGGAACACTGTTTGTTACCTAGGTCCAAAGACTAGACTGTGGGACTGCAAAAAGCTATTGTACTGTAGTGTCCTTCCATCGAAGAGGTGGCTACCTCTTGGGCTGAGACCCTAGTGAGAAAGATCTGCAAAGCTGCAGCTTGGTCCTCAGTGCTCACCTTCATCGGTCATTACATACTAAGACTGGGAACACCAGCTGATAACTTTTGGAAGGAGAAGCCTGCAAAGTGAGGTAAGCCCATTGCCCATAAGCTAATGCTTATGATGTTCACTGTCAGGATTTTCTTTGATTGATGGAGGAAGAGGTGACATCTGAAAAAAGGAAGTTAATTACCAGCACAGACTGTCACAGTTAGTGATTGTCTGCTTCCTACTCCATCCTAATTCTAGTCCACCTCCTTTCTAGAGGTTGGAGTTTTTTATTCTGTTGTGTTCCTTTCTTCTCCAATGTTGTGCACATTACTGATTGGTCTGCAAGTTCTCAGGGTATGAAGTGGGAGAGCTTTATACCAAACTATTTTAACATTAGTCTTGACTGACCATTCATTTTTCCTCCTTGTTTTTTGGTAGTTGAACATGAACAGCTGTCTGTCATGACTTCCTTTGCACACTGGGTAAGAAGTAGATTACAAAACAGAATTTTCCCATCAGAGCCAGTAACCCCTCATTAGTAAATCTGATTGTTATCATAAAACAAAACAAAAGTAAAGTCATGGTTTTGTTACAGCAAACAATGCAAATGTCACAAACGTGTAGGAAAAAAATGCAAACAATCACGAGGGCCTTATTTTGAGAAAAATATCCTTTTTTGCAGTAAAAATATTTAAAACTGGTTGATTAAAAATAGCTAATAATTTTAAAACCTTGAAAATCCCATCTGATCTCCCATACTCCTCTCAGAATTTTTATAATTTTCCCTCCCTATTTGTTCATTGTAGAGAAGTCATAGGCTCCAATTCTGCAAAGACAATGCACTTTCTTACTTTTACACATTATGAACAGTCCCATGAAAATCAGTGGAATTACTCACAAGTTAGTCTTTGTAGGATCAAGGTCCTACTTGGTAGGTTAAAGGCCAACAAATATGAGAAAACCCTAAGTCCTAACCAGCATCAACTTGATTTTGTAAAAAAAATATTTCCTGATAGTTTTGTTTAAGTCAATTTAAACATTATAATAAGGGGTTTGTGTTTAGAAGGGTCTTTTGGGTGGGTCTGAGGTCAACAGCACCAGAAATACTCAGGCCCATTCCTCCTCATTGGTCCCTTTTCTCTTTGTGCTCACACCTGCCTGCTGCTAGCTGCCGTGGTGGTAAACACCTTTTAGGGCCTCAGAAAGGGCATGCATAATTGAAAAAAACAGACACACCAATTATACACAAAACTCTGTCAACTTTACAAAGTAAACAAACTGGAGAAAGAGAAAAAATCTCTAATCTATTGCAGTTATAATAATCCTAGATCTTTCTTATAATAGCAGGACCACATTGCTGCCGTGTACTGTCTGCTGGGTGAAGCACATCTGGGAGAGCCTTAAAGGAGCCAGGTCCGGATCCTGGAAGTAATTGGAACCAATTGGGACCTTTAACTACTAGAGCAATGTCATGGCTTCTGTCACAATTCTTGGGTTACTGACAGGCACCTCCTGCTGCTTGGGTGCTGCAACACCTATAAGGCACCCCCCATCTGTATAAACAGGAGTCTCTGAGTCAAATACCCTGACTGAACTGGTACCCAGTTGATACAAATTTTTTTTACTGGAAATGTGATTTTCAAGTGGACATTTTTGATTTAGAAACACTGCCTGTCAACAAAGTTAAAAATAAGCAAAAGTTTACAAATACTGGAGGGGAACATCTAGGCAGGGTTTGAAGGCACCTGACAAGTCTGGTTTAACTGGCTTACATTTTTTTAATGTGCTTTATGTTGCTAAAATATTAATGGGTAAGAAAATCATGTACGGCCCATATGTTCCCCTTCTGCACAAAAGCATGTGATGGGGAGCTAATTAATAGAAAAACTGTACATTCATCTCACTGGTAGGGACGTGGAGAGGACAGGATGTAGAACTCAACATTTCATGAGAAGCCAGAGATCTGCTAGGATCCTAGCCCCAGCCCCATGGATCTCATGCAGTGCTTGGAGGGACACTCCCTCCGCATTCTCCACCAGACTCTCCCCCAGCCACTGCAGCACAGTAAGACCCTGGGTTGTACTGCCAATATCTCACTCATCCCTGCTGTGTGCTGTGACTCTGTGGCAAGGAATCACAAAGTAAGAAGAACAGAGCAGGGCAACATTAACTTTCCCACAACTTCACCTGCAGCCTGTGAGAGCACACTACATCCCTGGCTCCTTCCCCCAATCTCTGGTCCCACCACTTCTTCTGTAAAGCCAAGTAGCCATGCAGATATGAAGAACAGAAAGCTGGAAAAGCAGAGGTGAGGAGAGTATCCCAGTTAGTCTCTTCCCTTTTCATGGGGTCCCATCATGGCTTTTTCTGCAGACATATTCCCTCTTCAATACACACACCACGGTTAATGGAAGAGAGCATATAGTCCATAGTCAGCATGACTTAGTACACAATTTCCAGACTTGGTTATTACTTAATCTACAGGTCAAAGGCACTTCTCTTAATTGGGAACTAATTCCATGGCAAACTGAAGTGTTGAAAGTGTTTAAATATGCTGTTTATTAATTGAATGTAAAAAATAATAGGATTTGAAGTTTCTGAACACAAATTTAAAACCTAAAACCCACCTTTTTCCATACTGAGATATTTAAAAATATTTTTGTTGACATTTACTAAATTTATGAAACAAAACAAAAATAACCTTGGGATTGAGAAGCACGAGAAATATCATCCACTCAAAAATGCCAACAAGCTAAAAGCAGAAAAGTACTTCTCCAGCCATAAATCCCAAATTGCTGCTACAACACTATAATTTCAGGAATGGCAGTACACATCAGTTTACAGGGGGATATTTTAAGTGATACTTTATATGCTTACAGTGTTCTTAAAAGGCAGCTAGAGGTCAAGTCAGCTATTGTTAAACGTATTGAGTCCAACATAGAAATGATTTTGCATATTAGACTTAAAATTCTTCAGAAACTTTAATGTGCTATGGAAGCACATAGACTTGCATATGTTCTTCTTGCTTCCCGCTCCCACCCTGACATGGCAGATTTTCACAGAGATGGCAAAGGGCACATCTCTGACACAAAGGCTATCTTCCCCTCACCAAATGTCAAGTCCCTGATCCATAGCCTAGGGGTCTTAGAGCTGTTCAAAACAAAGAAGAATGTTTTAATATGGGTAAAATAAGGTATTATTGCCTAGCCCTGTTCTCAGAAATGGCTGGACTGTTCTTTCCAAGAAAATTTTGTTTGAGACACCCAGCATGGAAAATTTCAGGTCAGACTATTAAAGTTTGGCAAAGTTATAAGCAACTGAAAACAGGATCTTATAACATGAAGTGTCAGACAACTTTAATAATCGGCAGCACTACCAACCCCACCTATAATAATACCTAGCCCTTATATATCCTTTGTCATCAATGGGTCTCGGGCAGCTCTGAGTCAGCGGGGCTAAGGCAAGCTCCTTGCCTGTCCTGTCACTGCACTGCTCCCCGGAAGTGGCCAGCAGGTCTGGCTCCTAGAGGCTCCGTGCTCTGCTCTCGCCCACAGGCACTGCCCTCGACAGGGCCGGCTCCAGGCACCAGGCAACCAAGCACATGCTTGGGGCGGCACCTGGTAAGGGGCGGCCAATCTTGGGGTGGCGGGGGGCAGCGCGGTGCGGCATTCCGCGGGGGGGGGAGGCGGGCTCCAGCGGCGCGGCGCTCGGCAGGGGGGGCACTCGGCGGGGCGGCGCTTTTTTTTGCTGCTTGGGGCAGCAAAAAAGTTAGAGCCGGCCCTGGCCCTCGAGTTCCTATTGGCCGTGGTTCCTGGCCAATGGAAGTGTGGAGCTGGTGCTCTGGGTGAGGAAAGTGTGTGGAGCTCCATGCCCCGCCACCCCCACGTAGGAGTCAGACCTGCTGCCTGCTTCCAGGGCGCAGCGCAGTGCCAGGTCATGTAGGGACTAGCCTGCCTTAGCCCCACAGCACCGCCGACAGGACTTTTAACGGTCAGGTCGGTGGTGCTGACCAGAGCCGCCAGGATCCCTTTTTGACTGGGCATTCTGGTCAAAAACCAGACACCTGGCAACACCACCAGGATCCTTGTCTACCAACTTAGTGAGAAAGGTGAAATCAATGGAATAAAAATGAAACACCTCAATTCCAGTTAGCAAACATCAGAAGGGTAGCCGTGTTAGTCTGAATCTGTAAAAAGCAACAGAGGGTCCTGTGGCACATTTAAGACTAACAGAAGTATTGGGAGCATAAGCTTTCATGGGTAAGAACCTCACTGACTTGCATCTGAAGAAGTGAGGTTCTTACCCACGAAAGCTTATGCTCCCAATACTTCTGTTAGTCTTAAAGGTGCCACAGGACCCTCTGTTGCCAGTTAGCAAACAGAATCTCTTCTTGCCTTGTCCCCTGATGATTGCCATCACAGGGATTGAGGAACCCAGCCACATCTGCCCTGACACACAGCATTATTATTCCACCCTCTCAGCCACCCTAAGTTGGCGCATCTGAGCCACTCCAATAATGACCTTTGGGGCAGACCACAAGGCTTCATAATGGAGTGCGTTTTTGATAGTTGTACTTTTTTTATGTCAAGGGCACTTGGAGCAGATGGTTAAATGCTTTTTTATTATGTATAAATTCAAAATATAGATAGCTAGGGGAATGTAGATGTAGGGATTCCCTTTGTGGCATAGGAGGAAATACTGATCAAGCAAGAACCAGCGGGCCAGTTAAGAAGGCTTGCCTGCTTTTGCTCAGAGATAGAGGTGGGTGAGACTGAGACAGAAAAGGAGCTCCTCACGGCTAATTTAGGCCCAGATCAAGGCCTTGCCGTAAATACTGCAACTAAATGCTTGCATTTTAAGGGTTGGGGGTTTTGTGTGTGTGTGTCTTTGTTTAATGGAGCAGAGAGCTGAATCCTAAATTGCTATATTGTTACTTGGTTGTTTAGATACTGATAAACTTAGGGCACAGGCTACCCTGTCCCAAGCAGATGGCCTTGCAGACTAAGGTGGGACGTGCCTGCAGTACCATGTTTGGCCCTGAAGGGGCACTACAGAGCAGCCCCATCACCCACAAAATCCCAATCCTGCAAACAGTTAATT